TAATTAATTCATTATGTTCCGGTTTTAGCTAAATCAGTATCTGTTAAACAGAGACCCTAAATCAAAATATCATTCTGAGAACTTCCTGAGTTATGCGAAAAACATTATCCAAGTCCTTATCATATTCACTTTGAATTTCGGTCGAACGAATAGATAAGGAAACAATGAATTTTTCGGTAGACAATAGTTAGGTGAGGAAACAAAATAATTGGTTGGAATTCAATTGTTCTAATTTGAAAATGCTCATCTTACGGTTGAGAATCAATTGCAATTCGTTAAAATAAAACAAAAAGTTGAACAGTTAATTATATATTATGCAAACTGAATATGAATCACACAAAAAGTACATAAACCGCACTCTAGGATATTTGCATTATATATTAGCGATGCGCGAGCATAAATAAATTATTGAATAGGTATACGTGTACCGAGAAAATAAATTAAACCGTCTGCGCAAATAAAATATCAAGTCACAACGCTCGTATAATACAAGTGGAATAAAATGAAATAACCATTTCAAGTGGTTGTGAGTTAATATAATAATGCACTAACTTTATATATAATTTGCTAGAAAATTGTTCGTATTAGATTAACTTCTTTAGCGTGTAGGTACGCGAGTTGAAAATTTTACTACCGATAAAAGGACTTGATATTTATGCAAAGATATACCAAAATTTATTTACATGTGGTATTATTTTATTTTTTTGTTACTTTTTATAACTTTAATTTAATAAAATATATAATTATGAAATAAATAAATATATTTCGGTGGTCCGGAACACATAATTACATGGAATGTTATCAGATCACATTTATTATGTTGGTTACGTTTAATAAGCATACTGAGGCCTTAATGATTTTTTTTGAAGTCTCAGACCAACACTTTTCAAACAGAAAACATGTCATAATAACGTGCGAATCCATAATATACATGAAAAAACATTAGTTTTAATTCAGAGTAACGTAGTATATTTGATATCTTTGAACATGTCTTGTAAATGTAAATTGATAAATCTTTAAGTAATAATTTATCATTTCTATCTGGCCTGAAACCAATTTTAAGACACGCCATACAGATTATTTTTAATTATTCGACTCGTGCGTTATTGTACGTTAATTCCTGTAAACGAATCGAAAGAAATTGTGAAAACAGTTAAAACTGCTACAGCTGAAGACGTAATTTCGAGGTAAACACGTGTAAAATAACAGTATCGTACTGTCGTCGCGTTTGCGTCGATTGCTGATCTGCGTACGGAACCGTTTGAAATTGATATTATATTATATTATATTTTTGAAATCGGCACTATTTTCGGATGAAACATTGGTTTCGTGAAAAAATATCTACACGCCCCATTTCGAGCACAATATAAAGTGCACTGCGAGTCAGGATGAATCGCGTACGATTTAGGTACATTGCGTAACGCATCAATCATTGTTCGGTTCTACGTGATGTAACACTGTTTACGCATCTGCGGACGAGTCATCACCGGTAAACTGCGCCAACGGTTCAGACTAATAGCGAACGGGCGCGGTGGGCAACTGGTAACGAAAGATTATTAATAACGGTTTACGGTTGTTGTCGAAAACGTTTTTTTCACGATACTGGGACACGGCGGAAACGTGGTTGAGGGACCCGATATAAAAAATCGGTCATAACCGCCAAAGGTAATACGATATTACGGCCGAAACGTTAAATAAAAAGCGAATAGCCGGATAATTTCTACGAACTTTAAATCGTAATCGAAACACAACGGAAAATCAAAAGCGTTTCATCTTCAGAAAACTTTAATTTTCTTCTTCCCGATTCGATGAATGATTTGAGTTGTTCCGAGGAAAACAAAAATGACCGTCATGACATCCGTGTGTTTATCAAATAAATTATTAAATATAACGCGGGAATTTTTTCCGAGGCCTTCAATACAAAGAATTCAAATTAGATATCTTCTGTATTGCGCTGATCACTGTCAAACTAAATTATTCGTGATGAATAATAAAGCTGGTATTTGGCTGAAAGTAAGTTTTGAATTTTTCCATCGAGTTCAGTACCTTTTGACGAATCGTCAAGAAAACGTAACGACGCAGCAGAGACGGTTTCGGTGGCGTTCATGTTTTTCCTCGTCATTTTTCGCCAGAAATCAACCGAGAACGCATACATTTTTTATATGAACATGTGTTCCTTTAATTTTTCACTTTTTCAAGATTCGCATTTCACGAAAACATCCAGAAATGTTATACTGAAGTTCATTTGTTTGGTTGGATTTTTTTTTCGTCCTTTTTTTTATTTATTATAGAATTGTCACGGATTTTGTCGGGTCCGAGTCTATTTGTTATGAAGACTGCTGGAATTGGCAGGTGTCCCATTGAGTGTTTTGTCAAGAAAGAGGACGGACAAATTTCGACCCCTCGGTGACCGCGAACTTACGACAGATGACAAACGATCTTCGAAGATAATACCCGTTTAGTAATTGGTTTTTATCGTGCTGACCGATGGCGGATCCTCGGTCGGACGAAACAATCGTTTCGTGGTGCAGAGGACTTACGCTTCCAATGCACTATCGAAAGAACACTGTATATGCATCAACGCTATTTTTTAACTGATATTGGTCAGACGAGGTACTGCACCATACTTTATCGATTACGTACTAGAACGTTTTTCGTATTTTCTTCATCGCCCAGATACAGTGTATAGCTAATTAATGAGACACATTTTAGTTCAGTCATATTGAAGACAATCATCAGAATATTACTATTGGTGTGCCGTTCTATTACGTGAAAATATGATCCTGATTTCAATGTACGTGCATGGTTCGCCGAGAGGAAAATAATTTATATAAATCCTCAGTCATTTTTCTCGTATTAAATGCGTTTTTCGTCTTAATTTATACTCCAAATCTAAATGTCAAGTGCTATATAAAAAGGCTATTGAGTTTTTTTTTTTTTTTCATAAGTTCATATTTATTTTTATTTCAATTTATATCTTTAATAATTAACGAAATCCATTTTTATTTGACTTGAAATTTAAACACCGGGGGTTTAATGTGTTTCTTTTTATACATAATATAGACATTTATTTATTTGTTACGTTTTTTTTTTTTTAAATATAAAATACGATCACATTTTTTTCATATTCCTTTAGTCATAAATTGCATTTACATTTTTTGAATACAAAACAAAGAAAGTATATTACGTTTATTATTATACCTCACTTTTTAGACTGTGTAACGTTTGAAGCGCACAACAATTGAAATTAAAATCAACTTGGAATGATAACTTATTTAACTGAACATTCTTAAATCAAATTTTGATTAACGAATAAATAGAGTAAAAACCGTATATTGAGTTGTGTACAAAAAATAGAGGTGGTTCACTCGAAAACAATTTATTCGACCAAAATTAAACTATTTGTTGTTGGTAGATTAAAATGTACCAATATTTCAAAATCCCATTTAATCTCTTCCGATCACTCACCAAACAATGTTATGTTTTATGGCCACATAATAATATATGTAGAACTTATTTTTTTTTCGTTGGCATTAAAAATAATTATCAAAAATTAAAAATTACCGGTAATATGCTAGTTTCCGATATAAATTCTTCGCTGTCTTGATTTGTATGAAAAGAAACCATCATAAATGTCGTATTTTAACATATACACGTTAAAATTAGTATAAATTTTGTGAACTTAAATCTTCGAAATATTTAAATTATTTTCGGATTAGCTCGACTGGATAAATAATAGTTTTCAAGCCATAAATACAAAATTATTAATTTCTTCATTTAAAGAAGAAACGTGAAGACGGTTTTCGATCGCGACTCAAGAGCATTTAAAATATTTTTCTTTAAACGTCCTTATACTCAATGACTCGTTGACCAATGTGAAAAACGAAAAAGTAAAATACAAATAGTTCGCAACGTTCGACGCAGACGATGCAAAATAATTTTGTTTGTGACTGTTCGGCAAATACGGTGTAAAATGCGAATATTGGAAAATTCCAAAATAACCTTACACGGTAAAATCACGATGTTTGTATAAGATTATGCGCGTAGTACGGTACCTACTCTATTTCCCGCCCTCTCTAAGACATGTCAAGTGCCATGTTTTTTCCTGCTATCATCGATCAATTTCGGTGACCGCGAAAAATTACCGGATCCCGATTTCCGGTTAGCAAAAAAAAAAATGCAATACGCGCGAAATATTCCGATGCGAAGCCATGTGTTGCCCGCGTTGTTCTAAATTGTGTGTCTTACACTGGTGTATTGTACGAAGAACCGAGGTTTTTCGTGCGGAACGACTAATCTAACTCGGTTCATGTGAATACACAAGCTTATAACCAAACGAGATTGTGTTCGTAAATGAATTGAACCACGACGGGTTGCTAACGGGTAGGGAACAGCAGAGTTTTCGCGGAACACCTCATCCATCTAGTTTCTTATTTCTACCCTACCGCGATTATTGTATAATACTACGCACAGTAACAACGAAAGTGTGTTGTAGTAATTAGTGGCCACAGTTCAGATTTCCTCCACCCTTCCCCCAGTCATTATGACCGCTGCACAGTGCGTTTCGACGAGTAATGGGGTTCGCCGTAATGCGTCTGACCATTTCTCACCCTGCGACCGCGAAACAAATCTTATCGATCATTCGGGGCCGAATTGAAAATCCGGAAACCATGGAACAACCACCATGTCACGTTCAATCGACGGGTCCGATTTTCGTACACGAAAACAATACACGATGGCCTTTCCCCTTTCGGTTCACCATTGGTTGTTACAGAAATCACCTAGTCAGACCGAATGAAACACGTTAACGATTTAATTCAAGAACAACTAAACCGAGCACATATGAATGTGTGTTCGACCGTTCAGTCGAAAGCGCGAATAATTAATACCGACAATGTGCGCCCGTGATAAATGTTTAATTTGTGATTGATTGATTTTTATTGTTTTCTAACACACCATGTTTTTTTTTTTTTGTTTTTTTTTCCCCGTTCGTCTTGCAGCTCGCCTTCTTTCGGCGGCGGATCGTCCTCGAAGCCCGGGCACGCGGCCAGTGCCGACGACGTGTCCGCGGCGAGTAGCCATCACGGTGGCAGTGGCGGCGGCGGTGGCGGTGGCGGTTCGGTTGCTGCGAGCGCCGCGGAGCACCTATTGCACAAGGACATTGCGGCCGTGGCACAAGGCGGATGGAATGTCACCAAGTCATTGATGAACGTCAAAACGGAGGAGGACAACGTGAGTGCGCGGTATCTGTGTGCAACCCCGTATTTATCGTGCCTCGTTCCACCCTTGTGAACAGATGTCCCTAACTATGTCCCACACAGGTTATTCGCCCGGTCGTCGCTCGTAGGTGTGATGTTTTTTGATGTGAAATGACGTATTTCCGATGATAAAACAGTGTCCGTAGTTTAGTCCTAGTGGCGTCCGCAAAACGGTGTTTTGTTAATGTTTTCGTACTTTGGACGAAATACACAGAGAAACAGAGACAGATATAAAATATATAAATATATATATATATATATATAGATAGATAGATATAGAGAGAGAGAGAGAAAGAGAGACAGACAGATAGACAGGCAGAATGAGGGAGAGGAAGGTGGAAACAAAGTAAGCTAAAGAGTTATATCATTCCACCAGTGCACCGTGATCGACAGCATCAATGATTATCTTTGGAAACGGGGGTGTGTGCGTCCATTGTCTGCATTGATCACTCGCTCAGAATACGTTCTTTAAATCCTTCATTAAATCCTTACTTATGGCATCCTTCACGTAATATAATTACAATCATATTTCGTCGTTTCACGTCTGCCAGACGTCTTGTGACGTATAGATAAATTTTTTTTCTACCATCTCAAGCGATTCCGATATGTTTAAAAAAAAAACAACACGAGTGCATAAAATCTTATAATATGTTGATATGTCATTACAATCGTATTGGAATGAAAAAAAAATGAATAAATAAAAATTACCTATACGGCAAAATTTTATACTTATGGTATATCTGGTATGATAAGTTTTATTAGTTTACAACAACTATTGTTCTGCACATTTTTTTCGGTGAGCATATTTTCTTAACTGATCTATTATTCTACACACAAAACTATTTGTAAACAATCAAAACGTTCAAACTTTCAAATTTTTCAAAAATTCTACCATCCCGTACACACACAGAGGGTACATTTTTTAACGGTGATACCCGATTGAGCACGGTCGTTATCGGCCGACCTTTTTGATGACCCGAATGAGCAGGGTAAAAAAAAAATATTTTATATAACGTTGTCAGATTGAAAACTATTAGGCTGGCAACACACTAACGTTATTTTACCGCGCCGTAATTTTACTGCGCGTTTTTTTAAACCACATTAAAATGAATAGAGCACAACACACGAGTGTCGCGCAGTAAAATTATGGCGCGATATTTCGAAAACTGTCGTGTGCACCTTGACTTTACCGTGCATTAAGAATACCGCTATAAAAGCTTATTGTGAGTACTCCGAATTTAAAAATACTGAAAACCTACTTAAATACTTATTGAAAGTTGAAAATAAGTATTTAGGGAAAAAAAAATTAAATTTTTACCTTTTTCATGACAATTATAAGAGTGCTATTTTTTAGAAAAAAAAAATATTTAATTATAACTTGTGATTAAAATCCAATAAAAGATTTTTAATTATAAATAATTATATTCAAATGTATTTTATTTTGTAATAATAATATGGGCGCACCGAGCTCTATACACCAACAATATAAAAAATGCAAAAAAAAACGGTGTCTTGTCGTTTTTTTATAGGAGAGTTATTTCTTTTAGGAAACCTGAGCCGTAAAAATTTTAATGAAATAATCGTTACAAATCTAAAATTGAATTACATAATAATTATAAAAAAATCTTGCATGCACAGTAATACGGTGCACCGAATAATATTCTACGGTACAAAGCGGCAACGTCGCATCCATTTTCGTGCTCAATTGTGTAGTTTTTGGGTTCATTTTTGGTTCCTATTGTTTGATTAAAACCGTGCTCAGTCGGGTTACGAAAAAGATCAATCGTACTCAATCGGATTCCAGCCTTTTTTAACGAGATATACTAACAACACATTTAAATTAGCAACGCAAGTGTCTTACCGTAGAACAAATCATGCTTGATTCATACGATATTTATATACGTACTCTTGACCAAAATTATCAATATTGTATTGTAATAAGCGATGTGGGCGTTGTCATTTTCACTTTTATAAACTTTTCAATTTTCCCGATTACTTTTTCACTACCTCGCAAGACACGCGCATTAAATATGATGTGTGACTCGTGATCGATAGTCTCATATGGACTTTTACCGTTGGAATAATGTACTAATTATGAAGATAATGATGTTATATAAAAAAATTTTAAATTCCCTAGAAGTGGCTCTAAAATGGTTTAGTAGTCGACATAATTATCTGATAATATGTAACACTGACAATACTCAAAAATTTAAATTCAACTTTTGAATAACAATTAAACAATAGGTAGTGTGAAAAAATTTATATTCTATACTAAACTGAAGTGCATCGTAATACAATTCGAAACAAAACAAAACTTCTAAATCAGAACGAGAAACCAATTAAAATTACCATATTGACATGTTCGATTAATATTATCCAATTGGGATTCATATAATAAAATAGGTAAACTTTTCATCGTATGATTTATAATAAGTTAGTGATATTATGCTGTTAATCTAAATATGAGAACTGAAAAGTCACTAGCTAAATAAATCGACCTGGATACTGCAACACATTGATTACGACGTCGTATACACATGCGATGTTCGTATTGTAATATTATCATGTAGTACTGCTTTCATATTAGGGCGCAACAATTAACTGCATCGTTAGCTACAGCAATTTTAGCGGAAATGGAAGTAAGCTCCCCCTCCCCTATTTTATAACATCATATTTGTATAACATATAATTGTTATTTTTTCAAATAAATTGTTCTGCTTGAACAATGAAATGATTGACATGACAAATAAATGTTCTCTAAGAAGAGATACTTTCACTATTTTAAAACATATGATAGGTTTAAAACTCGGAGTCGAATCGAATAAAATAAAGAATTTGTGCTACAATGTAAAGGCGTCCACCAATAAGTATGAAATATACAGCTAAATACAGCTGGAATAGCGATATTAAATAATCAGGAATGATCCGAATGATCGCGTTAAAGTGATCAATTTACCGGTCAAAAATCACTGCACGATTGTCGTTTGCAGTTTTTTTCGTATTTTTTTATTTTCCCATAAGCATTCGTTTACTACATTCGGTGATTTACTGTACTCATTTTTATGTTGAATACAAAACTATTTATTATCATTGTATTGGCTCCGAATTGATATACTACTTCATCACTAAATATGTTGATTTATTATTATTATTATTTTTATTCTCAATGAGATATTTTTTGTGAAAAAAATTGAAGAACAATGTTAAATTTATTTGAAAAAATGCTTGTTTTATTTTGATTTATTAAATTTATTAAATTATTTCGCAATAGAAAAACTCTTCGATTCAAAAATATTGTATTAGGTGAACCGAAACATAGCATATAATACTCATTCAACGTTATATAAATATACACAATGCATAAAACTTTTACGGTTTTAAATTCAAATGTATTTCGATTTAATAGCAAACTGTAGTGACCGTATGGAAGATATTATATAATATCGCCATTTATTTCAGCATTGTTATTTTTGGTCATGACAAACTATCCACATGACTTGTTTTATCCTGATTTTACAATTTTATACCGTAATGTCTAATATACATGATATATATCAAACTTACTTTTATTATTGAGTAGATTATATATCTGCCAACATATAAAACAAATGTATAGAGTATGATTCTATGTCAATTCATATATATATATATATATAATTTATACATTTTTATATTGTTCCATAAATACGACGTCAAATAATGAAACACTGTTCTACTTATTGTCACAGAGCAGTACATTTTTTTTGAGAAAATTTAATATTTACTGTTTTATTCGTCTCAAATAATTTTATTATAAATAAAATATTTATTTGTTTTGATATCTTCTTAGTATTACTTAATTACCCTGATTCAGTTCCTTGGTGGGTACTAGAAAAAAAAAATTTCATTTTATTTAAATACGGCCATCCTATGCAATACTAAACATTTATAGTTAACCATACGGTGGATCATTTATATTCTTATCCCTCTTCTTTTTTTTCACTTGTTTCTCACGATTTTCTTCTCTGGAAACGTTTACGAAGGGGTTAGAAACTTATACGTCATGATAGCCCTCACGTCGATTCCCAACTGCTCGAAGCGGGCAAGTAGCCAATAATTTATTCATGACTAGCCTACAGTGTGTTGTTTCTACTTATGTAAAAAGGTACTCAAAAATCGCTCTCGGCTTTTCGACGACTTTCTTATATTTTTTTCGTCCAAACTCGAATCGACTTCAGACAGAACTGGACGCGCGTAGAAAGCAATTTAGGTAAATATACCACGAACACAAAATACATAATTACAGCGTTCAAAACGAATGATTTCGGTTTTCTCATCGTGGTGTGCAATTAAACGCTTGTTTGGTATTTAACTTAAACCCTTACAATACGAATGCATATAAATATTATTTTATTCCATATTTACCTACGTAAATAAACGTACAACACGATCCCAGGGTGTTTGGACGTTAATATCGTAGTTTGTCAGTATTTGTTGGGTAACGGTGAGGTACGTCATCAACGTCGAGACCATAAATTTACATTTAGGTGATACGTACATAGAACAAGCAAAATGGGCACCATTATTTTTTTGACATTTTGTACTGCACACGTAGAAATTGTTATTAACGTTTTGTTTTGTTCACGCACAAATCCGCAAAAGCTCACCGCGCGCAATGTTTTAAATGTTTGTCGTGCCGCACGGATACACTTTATGCGTTTCTATATACACATACATTGTCGTGTGCTGCACACGAATGTACCACCATGTTCCTGACCTCGTTAACGTTACATTGTTCTTGCTTTACGGTCGGGCATAATTTTTATCGCTACAAAAACATTGTGCACGCGAGAAGGAAGGATTTTTTTTCCTTCCCCGCAAATATTTCCGTACACAAAAACCGCATAAAAGTAGTATACGCTTTACGTCACCGAACTTCATCGTAATTCGTTCGACGTTTTTCAATGGGCTACAAAATAAAATTATGTTTCCGTACGAATCGAAACGGTTTAACAAACGATTCTGCTGTTATTAAGGAACGACGTTTTCGTTGTGCTTTCGTAACTAAAACTTTAGACACGCGACAATTACGGGGTCGCGCGTTCGGTACGCGGAAACCGTGTTTGTAATTCAAATGTGAAAAGCCGTCGTGGAGTGAGATGTTGTGCATTAGTTACCGAAAGAAAATTGTTGAATTATGAATGTTGACACGGAATCCGAGAGATTGTTGCTAAAAACACAAATATTTACACCGTGTTCATTATGTAAGACTATAGGACTTGACTGACTCGTTGATGTATTATATTATGCATGTGCACGTGAACGCGATGTGAAATGTTTTTTTTTTTTTATTTCAAACACTTAAATCAAAAAACAAAGAAGAAAAAAAGGGAAACGCGGATATTTTTTTTACATTTCACTAATGTACCAAAACGAATCACGAATAAACAATAAATTAATCGAAAAATATTTGTATTTTCAAAATAATATTGTAAATTATCTTCATTATTTCGGATCCCTAGTACCGTTTTTCGGTTGGTCTACCTTTTATTGTATAATAGTATATTGCTTTATAATAATATACTATGTGATTACAAGAATATCATATGCATACTATAAAATATTGGTAGAATTTGAATGATATGGTATGATATGATATTATAACTAGATAGTAAACAAAAAAAAAAATAATTCTCCGATTATATTTCGGTTTAAAAACCTAAAATTTTCAAACACCGTAAATGAGATGTAATATCATCCACACGGTAAAATTGTTATATTACTTTTTTTTTTATTTTGATACATATTTTTTAGAGATGTAATTAATTATTATAAAATTAATTTACCTTTTTCTTTAATTTCTGTATCACATATTTTTATATTTATCAAAATACGATTAAAAGTATAAAAAAAAAAAAAAAGTAAAACAATAGATTAAAAAAAAACAAAAACCCGTATATACATTTTAAATATTTGAGTGATGTTATAAAAATCTGTTATTTTTCATGCCACTTTGAATACAAACCCGATTAACATAAGTTCATTATTACGGCATATTATTAATACATCGCTTCATATACGCAATCGATTCAAAACTTATTTACCTATATTATACTGTGCTCCAATTATTCGATGATTCCTCTCGACTCTCTTTCTTACACACTCACACTCACACATTCACCCATACATACACACAATATATGAAATCCGAGGATTAACAACAGCATTTGTGAAATAACAATAAGTCGTATATGTACGAGCGTTTGTTTGAACGTTTTTGAGTACCCACTTATTATTGCAGTATACCTATAATAATCATATTCAAATGCGTATACAAAAAATGATTCGGAAATCGTTGAAATCAATATTATTTTTTGTTTATAATGAAAATGTTTTGAATAATTTTTCAAAAAGTTCTAAATCACCGAGTACGTATACGATTGACCAAGCGAATAATAATAGTCATTTTTTCTGTTGCTCAATGATTCTAGCACGATCGTTGTCAATCATTGACCGAGTTGAACAAGGAACCACCGGCTGTGCCGTCTGAGAAGGTGGGCCAGATCAATTTTGGCCTTGAATACGACTATCAGCAAAACACATTGATCCTGCGCATAATCGCGGTAAGTATTAGAGCATAATTTAACAGTTTTAATTATTATTTTTTTTTTTTTTGTTATTTATTGAATAAATTATTTCAACAAACATTTGTCTTTACAATAGTTTTAAACTTACAAGTTAAAAGTTGGTTTAATTTTTAATTAGTTATTTTCCGTAGTTTACGTTGTGTAAGTTAAAATAAATAAATATAAAAACAGTTAAGGGAGATAAAACGTGATGATGAGTGAGTGGATACTATTCAGACTCAAATGATAATGATGAGTGTGGAGTTAAAAAAACATATTTTGAAAGCTTTCGGTCTGCAGTTTCTTGATTTTATTTTCAATTTTACAACTATCCAATGGGGTTTAAATTTAACCGAGTTAGTATTCCGATATCATTATAGAGACCACCGGTTACATACGAACCCGCATAATTTTAGAGCTACTCCAAGAAATTGGTTCAATGGAGTCTATATTTTTTTAAATTTTTTTTTTCCAGAAACAAGTATACTAATATTAATCAGTATTATAATTAAAATATAAATCACAGAGTTTATTGTTACAGTTAAGAAAAATAAGAAAAATAATAATGTTTTTTATTTTGCTATAAAAAATTAATATTCATACGGTTATCTTAAATGATTTTTACGTTGTCGTCGTGGACTGATATAAAAAAGACGGTTAACCCAGTAACGCCGTGAATTGAAGCGCGTTCACGGGGAAGATGCAGAAACGTTTTGTTTGTTTTATATCTGGGGACAGTATAGCGGTTTGTAACCCTCTTTTTATTTGAACCACTTCTACGAGTGATTTAATGCTATCAACGTATAAAACGATTATGCAAATAGGCTTTTGTACTTATATTACATATAAGGCCATCGTTATAAATGTAAGCTACGCTTTTTTTATATAAATCGGTATGATGCGGAAAAAAGTGTATCCGTACACTCAAGAACACGTTGGGCACAGAGCGCTACATGGTCTGCTGCTAAGTTGCGTCGGCATTACATAAACACAAATAAAATAATAATAATAATATGGTCGAAAGACCTGTGTAATTGCACTAAAAAGCTTTACTCGGGTTTAAGCTTTGCGCAGGAGTAATTTATGTAATACTTATACATTTTTTTCACGAATGTACGTACCCGCCGCTCGCATATGTATTTTCGCATACATACGTTACGTACATGCATACATACATTTGTATGAACCATTACTGGAATGTTTCGAGAAAACTGCGTGACAGATATAAAAATCTAAAATCAAATCTACATACACATAGGGGAGGGACGGTGCGAAGTCTCCTATGATTTTGTTAAACCGCGTGTATCCATTGTGTTAGAGTGGATTTCAGATCAAATTATCCTGATTTTTTAAGAGTCGATATTCGTTGACAAACAGATGAAAAATCCAAGCACATCCTCTGGTACCTACTTACCACAATGTTTTCTGTACTACGAAGAAAAGTAAGATTCCGTAGAGGCTTTACATTGTTTTCGTTTAAAATGGATGTTTATTAATGTGTAAATGTACACTTGGTGTAGGTAGTTTATCGTTTTTTTTTTCTTTTATTCGTTCAAATTCACTCGAAAATACTGAAGAATCCCAAGAAACTATTTTCTTAATGCACAAAATGTTTACAACAGCCAATTCGTTACGGTCATAAAAGGAGACCCAATAGTGCTTTTAATAAAGAAAAAAATCTATTCTCCGTGCTCGGAATTAAGAATACATCAAAGATCAGAAAATATTACAATATAAATATAGGTATATGCTGTGCTGAAAATCAAGATCAAAGAATTAACTCTATGGCATTTTAAATGAACACAATTTTTTAAATGCTTGGCAAACATTTTTTTGCTAATTTTTATTTTTGCTCGAATCAACTAAAAAATATATTATACTTTAATAGAATAGTTAACTATCAGTTGCGTGAACAAATAGAAATAAAAACAGCAGTGCTGTAAACAACTACTGAAAGAGATTACAAAGATGGTCGCTACAATATATAAATAAATGTCGGATTCAAGCATATAATATAAACAGTGTACTCATAAAGGTGAATTGTAAAATGTCATTATTAAACTGAACACGTGATATAATCTAAAAAGACTTTTTTGTTATAAATGACCTCACGATAGCTTTAATCGAATAAATAATTATGGTTGAAAATTGTCCAAAACATTATTTATTTGTAGTTGGAAAAACTGTGAGAAAATTGAAAAATTATATCTTTTAAAATACCATAGGAGTTCAACTTCTGTTATATATTACAAAATAATTTTAAAAAAAAATATACAAATATTTGCCAAAAGAATGAATAATGCTGTTTTCTTAATAAATCATTTAAGAAGTTAAACTTTACATATTATTACAACAATCGGAAATAATAATTTAGTTTAATGTATTTTAATTTTTAACGCAAATTAACTTCAAAATATGGAATTAATATTCTAGCATAGGATGTTGAGATTTTATTTTTATATTTTTCATGATCCGATCCTGTCCGATCTAATTTAATGTAATTGTTTTCTGTTATACATTAAAGTTCTCCAAGAATAGAATAGTTAATATTCATGCATGGCATTATTTAAAAGTGTAAGAAAAAAAATTATTCCTATAACTAATGTACTGCACATTAAAAATAAGGGAAATTATCTTCGATATTTTAAAAGCGACATATGGAGGCACATACTTAGTCAAATACTTATATAGAGGCTATAATAATGTAGGAAGGCCAATGAAAAAAAAATTCCACTCGAAGTAAACAACGTAAATCTACGGCTTTAGAAATGTATTACACTTCACCAGAAATGAAACGTGCTGCAAAATTCAAATTTATATAAAAATTTAAAAAGAGCGCTTGTATATATATGAAAAATAGTCACATCCATTATACAGAGGGCAATTCAAATAAAAAAGTCTTTTGATAATAAAAAAATAGCTTCGTGCTTTTGGTAGTTTGGCAGAGGAAGCGCTAAGATTTATTTTGGAAAATAAATTAAATAAACGGCAATTCATAAATATATTACAATATAATAATAATAATAATAATAATAAAATGTAATACAAATTATAATAGTTTAAGTTTGTAAAGTCGATTTACTCTAAAAATTATATTTTATAAATAAAAATTAACTCACTAAAATAATAATTTTAATGTTCTAGAATTCATCTCATCCTACTTTGTGTCGGTCTCTAAGATTTTGTCCGCTATTCAGAGGGAAAATTTGATTTTAATAAACTATAATGATAAATCAAATTAAATAAAAATATTTTTTTTTTTTTTTTTTACATTAATTTAATACATACATCTTAAAAATTAACATTTAGAACAAAAATACGTTCGTTATTACCATCACAAACTCACAAACGCTTAAATATTAATATGACAACACATTGATCACAGCACATCATCGAGGCGATAACTTTTCAGTGACTGGATGAACGAGATATACTATACTGTATAATGATGGTGTATGTAATGAAATGTGATTTAATAATGAAGACTTTAATACAGGTATTTCACAAATATTCTTAGTTTAAAAATAAAAATAATAAATTTCAAAAATTCAACGTCATAAAACTGTTCGTTACACAAAGTGGCCAGTATTGTAGTGCCAGAAGTTGTCCTGCAGAAAAGTTGTGAAAATGTCCTCATCCCCGACTAAAAAACGACCCTTTTCAGGGCCAATATCCGTACAAACATTTCCGGTGCGCTTACACAAGTGTCCACTGGTAAAGTGATCACGGACGTATCGCTCGCTTGCTTAAGTCTGCTGTCGACCGTGTATCCAATTCTCTATCGCACCTGCTCAGGTCCGATACCAACCGCCGCAGCCGCGCGGCCCGAAATAATTTTATTAAATTAATTGTATTACTTTTATTTAATGTCAAATAAATAACTTGATATTTATTTCGTGTACATTTAATAAAGATCCGGGTTTCGGTAACTCCGGCACAACGTTTCAATATATATTGTAATAGAAGTAACGTCAACATTTATATTGCGGACGGTTCCACGTTTTGGTAAATTTAAATTAAAGTCGACGTTTACTGCAGCACGATGCTGTGTACTACGTGGGTATTCGTACTGATATAATTCCGAAGAATAGCGCAAATAAAATAATACGCTTATCTTTAAAAATATAAAACGCGATGCGTGTCGCGAATACGAAACAATAAAAGTTATAACAAACTTCCATTTAACGTAATTCTATGTTAAACAAAATATTTTTTTCTCGGTACTACGAATATGATGGTTCTATGCAACGAATAAAATGTTCAAAAATAAACCTATTTTTGTAGAATATACTAATGCATAATGCCAACGTAAAATATGAAAAATTGTCTTAAAACTCTACTTACTCTATTTAAATAGGTGGACCATACCGTAAACATCTATAAAACATATATGGATAGGGATCAACATTTCTAAAAAAAACCTGCTTCGTAGGTAATTGGTGTGTTTTTTAAAAAAAATTCCAAAGTTATTGTTTATTGTCATAACACTTTTATTTCTACGATAAAATATTATTCACAAAATCTTGAAAGTGATTACGCAATTTTGTAATTTTTCCCTCATTTTAAGCGTTTGATAACGGCACGGAATCGAGTTATGTAGTTTCTGTGTTTATGTCCAAATAATAATTAATTACTAATGATGTTGAAAACCCCCTTAGCACCCTAACATATCGACTACACTTATTTTTCAGTCGATCTAAATGGTACTTAATATTGATTGTTTTTTGTTAATTTAATATATAATTAGCTTCGAAAAATAACTTCACAACAGAAAACAAAAAAAAAAAAAAATCTACAAAAATTAAATGATACCAAAAATGGTTTCATCGAAAAAAAAAACACGGAAGTAATCGTGATTTATTTTGGTACAATGTAAAATTTAATTTTTTTAACGTATTTCTTCGTTCCAAACAAAACCAGTAGGTATGAACCATTCATTATTTAATTTTTATATTTTTTAGTTTATAAAAGAAAATACTTGAAGGAAATATTATTTT